TTGTATGGCAATGGTATATTCTCTTAGAAGAGACCATGAAGTATTGTTTTGTGGATGTAAATCACTAGGAAAAAAATCGTATTATTTCCCTTTCTTAAAGAAATTTAACTGTATAAATGAAAGAAAAAAAACTTTTACTTCTTCAAAAAATCTAATATTTTTTTCAAAAAAAAAAACATAATTTTTACTTCTACCAGCCCAATAGCCTTCTTATTAATAATATTCGATTCAACGGCCCCTTACCTAAAAAAAAAATTATGTAAGAAACTCTGGACAAGAACATTCCTAGAAATATCCTTTTCTCTTTAAAAAGCAGTGTACTTAATACCGGGAAATGAGTCTCACAGCCCTTCTTGATTATTGTAAAGAATTATCCGGTTATTATAATTAATGCATAGTTAAAACTTTATGGCTCTCTTAGTATAGAAGGCAAAAATAATCCACATGATATTGTACTATAGAATTGTGTAATCAAGTTTAATATGATTAACATTGCAAGATAATTCAAACGGTATTTTAGTTGAACCTGGACCAAACATATAAGCATAAGAAAACTGAATAGTAAACGCATTTTCCAATTGACTATTTAATTATCTGGCATAGAAAATTAAGTTGAATAGAAATAATAGATTAACTCGAATATTTCGTTTAAAGGTAATTTCAAATAGCGTTTAGTTCTTCCCCATAATAAACTCTAAAATTTAAAAGTAATCGATAGAACGATAAACCTCACCATTTTTTTTAATATTTAAGAAATGACTTTTTGAAAAAAATCTATTTTAAAAATGGATACTCGTTTAAAGTTTCGATGAAGTGTTAAAATAAAAATATTGTTACTCTCTTTTGCAAATTTCAAATAAAAATTGAATTCCGCTTTCTATGCTTAAGAAAACTGTCAAATTATTCAAATTTTTCCAACCCTATATGACAGATTTAATTAAACTTCTCGAAAATCATTAATTTTTTATGCAAAAGAAGGCATTATTAATGACATTCAAAATATTAAATTGTTTTGTACTTTCTTTTAAAACACCTTTACCTTGAAATCTGACGTTCAAGATAAAGAAAAATGCAAATAAAGCTCTTCATTTAAATTAAAGCATCGATTTAAAGCCAGACATTCACCTATTTCTTTTGCTCCAAATCGAGTTTTCTTTTACAATTTAGCAAATAATTAATTCTTTAATTATAATTTAACACATCTAAACACAAATGAATCCAATAAATCATTTAAAAAGGGAAATATAGTGAAAAATATTTTTAAAAGAACTTGAATTTTTATTTTTATGTAAATCAATGTCAAGCACATCCATTACTAGATTTTGGGAGGAAAATGTGTCAAAATTCGTACAAATGCACAAACGTAGCGCATTTTCTACCGATGAGATCGTACTTTTGCAAATTTTAAGCAAAATTTTCTCGAAGCAAGGACTGGGCCTGGAACGTCCCATTGCTTTTATTTATTTAATATTTATTCTATATTTTTTTTTAAAAAAAAGGTTAGCTTTAGTTGAAGCGGTTTTTTTCAGTCAAAATTTAATAATTTTTTGAAGAATCAAGGAGATAACTTTTTTTTTTTCTGAGAAGTGTTTTTTAACACCAAAAAAGATTTTCTATTTTGAAAGTTTATTATTTGATCTACCAAATAAAATGCTCATTCAAGTTATATGGATATGTTAATGGGATTCCAAAAATGACAATGTGTAAAGCAAATATTCTAAAATTTATTTGAATGCTGCAAGTTTCCAGTCTTTAACTAGTCCTGTTATTTTCTTCACTTCTATTTATTTTACTTCTTCTTCGTCCATTTCTTTTCTTTATTTCTATTTCCTCTTCTTCTTCTTCTATCTCCGTCTAATCCATATCTTCTATTTCATTTCCTTCTATTTTCTCTTTTGTTTCTACGGCTTTTTCAATATCATTATTTTCTCATTTTCATTCCCTTTCTTCCTATTAATATTATTCGATTGTTGATAATTTAAAAAAAAAACTGGAATAATTTAATGTTACAATGATTTTAAACACACTTTTAAAAAATGTTACTCCGTACCTGTTAAGGAATTGAGATTTTGTGGTTCCATTATTTTATTTGGTTAAACAAGACAATTAAATTGGAAATAGTATCTATTAATAAACTGCTGGAAGTAACGTTACTTTCAAGCAATCTAATGCTCGATGTTTCATCCTTTTATAAAAAGATTCACTTTAAAATTTCCTTCCACATTGTGTTCAATAATTAACAAGATACAGGAAGTTACAAATTAAATACATTAAAGAGATTGAGGACTACAAAACTTAAAAGAAAAACATAACTCTGGCTCACAAAAGCTCACAACTCCGCCAATCAAAGCATAACTGTAGTTTAAAAGTCCTCATCATCATTCTTTGGTGTGGACCTTCTTCATAAGAGTTCTTCACACTCCAATTTTAAATACATTGAATATAACCTTCCTCTATAGTGGATTGCAAATGGTTAACTATAAAAATTTGTTTAAAAAAATAGTTCCTATTAATAAATGCTTGCATGTGAATTTGACTTATTGAATAATATCTGGTTTTTCCTCGACTTCTTAAAATTTGGAATTGCCGCACACGATTAAACTTTTAAATATAGGCTTCAAAATTTTACCTTTAAAAAATGTCGCAATCCTATTTTTCACTTTCTTGGTTTGAAGTCTATGCTTTCATTGCATATGTTAAAATCGAACGGGAATAGTAAAAATAAATTCTTGTTATCCTCCATACCACTTGAGGTTTAACATCCTAACCAGTATATGACAAAAACGAAGTATGTACGTAGTAATCTTTACAAATTAAAATTCTTCGTGTGAGAAAATATATAAACGAAAATTTAAAAGCAATTTCAACTTGAGTATCAGATTAATTCCAGCAAATTTGTTCCTCGGAACACTGAATACATTTTAGAGATTAGATAACGATAAAAATGATAATCATTCGGGGAAAAAAGCAGGCATGAAACTGACCAAAAAGATAAATAACAATCTCATAGAAACAGTTTTTAAAAAAAAAAACTCAAAATACATCTAAAAAGTGACTGCTCCTTTGATTTGTTGCGACATTTCAATGTCGCATAGTTTTCTCATGAAGGTTTAATTTACATTATGGAAATCTTTTTTTTTTAATTCTTCGCTCAATTTTTATAATATAATTTTTTTATGAATTATTTGTTTCAGTTTCATAGGAGGTAATTCTAAAGCTCTTTTTTTTTCAATGGAATATCAACAAAATGTGTTTTAAATATTCCTCTTAAATAATATTTAAGTTGGTTGGTGTCGTATCCTCTATTGAATCATATTTCATGGTGTGCTTGAATAGTTTTTGTTATTTCTATGGCATTAAAAGAATACAAATCCTCTTCTGTGGGGTAGTTTAAGAGGTGAAGGCCTGCAGCGACTGCAGGGCAGTTAAAAACATGATATGGTGTCAGTTCCACATTAAGACAGTTGCCACAGTTTTGATATTTTCTAGTCTTATCTGTAGAAATTTTCATGTTTTTATGATGTTTTGTTCTTAGTCTGATGAGAGTAGTGGCTGTCTTCCTATCGATGTCAAGATTAGTTATTTGATCGTGGGCTTTGATTTTTAAAGGGGTGAATAGTCTTGACTTTGCAAAAGCATTTGCATCTGCCAACGTGGTTGGGATTGAATTTTGATTTAGATCTCTGGCATTTTTAGCCAAGGAATCAGCTATTTCATTGAACTCTATGTTCACATGGGCGGGAATCCACTGCAAGAAGCAATTTTTCCGGAGACGCTGAAGTTGTCCAAGTTGTTAATATTTAAGTTAGATTTTAAATTTTTAAGATGCCACTCTGCTGAAAATAAAACTTGTTATTTGAGTATTTCGCTCTTAATTATCAGCCCTGCAGCCGACAGCTGGTCCGCCTCACTGAACCCTTCGCTTCGCATATTTCGCATTGTTTTTCGTGTGTATTAATTCCACACTTCGCTGTCCCCTGATGCTTTCTGGTAAAATTACTTCCAATAAGGATTTTAAGAGGAAGGTTAGAAATCAGACACCTCGTCAGTGGTCAGCTGGACTATCGATACGAACTCACCTCTCCGCGGCTTCCCCATACCGCCTTTCTCGCAAACTGAATGGCCACAAGGGGACTAAATATACAAATGGGGAATAAAATGAACAAGTCATCAAAATCCTGCGAATGAATTGGGTTTGTATGAAGTCCGATGTTATAAGAAAGTCTGTTTGCAAGGCCCGTGAAAAAAAGGACCTCGAGGTCCATCCCGGCTAAGTGTCTGTTTTAAGAATGACCTAAACATTCTTAGAATTAAGGACTGGAAAATAGACGCCAAATGCAGAAATGCCTGTAGAAAACTTCTGGAGAAGGCCGGGGCTTACTTCGGGCTGCCAAACCACTGACGAAGAAGATTAAATAAATTATCAGCCGATCGTCACTTTTTTCGCCGGAAATGCAGCTCGTGCTTCTAATTATTTATTTTTTTAATATCTATGGAACTATTATAGATATTTTATGGAATTCTGAAAATTATTTTATGTCATGTTTGTTCCTTTTTTTTTGATTCAAAAATGAATCTTTTAATGATTACCATATTTTGTGAAATGTTTCGAAAGAAATTCCAGACATTGTAACTATCAACCGTTCTATTAAATCGCTTAAAATTTTCAATTTTTTCAAAAGTAGCCTGCATGTTTTTTTTTCGTTTTTTTTTTAAAAAAAAAATCCACTCTATGAAGTGCTACAACTTGTCACTGGCAATGGGTCAATAGAAAAATTTCCTAACTTTGCATATCTGCACGCATTCACCGCTTCACGACCTCGTCGTGATTTCCAAAACGCTTTTTAAGCGTTTGGAGCGTTTAGCATTATTCTGGAGCAAAATAAGGTTGAATTTTTTATCATGTTGTCAGAAAATAATCCTTGTTATGCTGATTCATAAAATTAATAATCTAATATACTAATTAATGCTTTTAAACTAACTAAATAATGTTGTTTCAGAGGCTGATGAGAGCAAAGTTAGGGAAGGATGAAAGGATGCAACGTTGGCCCGACGCTCTACTGGGTACTCGTCGTCACCGTCGCTCTCCTCTACACACACTCAAGTGAGTACTAATTATACTCTGAAAATGGAATTCATTTAAGGGGATGATTATACAAAATGGAATACCTTGATGCTTAATAGCGATTATTAGCACATGTAATTTGATGATGTTAGCGATTATTAGCACATATGAATGCTTGCAATTTAAATATTTCCCAGGTCAAAATTTTTGATGGTTTTCCATGGATGGTCTAACATAATCTTGATGGTAACCATTAATAATTCTCTCATGAACCATCATATTTTTTGATGGTAACCAACATAAATAACCATCATCCCAACGGGCTGATTTACGATGGTCCAACATAAGTAAAGCAACTTGTTTTGATGGTTTGTTTATGTTAAACCATCAGAAGTTTCCATCATAGTTTCTTTGAAACGAAATGTTGGAACTATCATGAACAATCATCATCCCAATGTAAGAATTCAGACTGATTAATGATGAGTCAACATAAAAAAAAACAAATTGGTTTTGATGGCATATTCCGGGGAACCAACAAAAATTCCCATTAAACCATCATGGAAATGTATAGTTGAAACCATCATGAACCATCACGGCTTCTTGGCTCATGAGAGTGAAACTTCTCCTGATGGTGAACCATCATAGAATTAAAGTATCATTTTCCATCATGGAGTGATGAAAGGCATATTAAAAACCATGAACGCATAATGGAAAATGTTGGAAGGTGGTGGTGGCCTTCAAATGTTGTTGAACCATCATGAATAGCACTGAAACCAACATAAACCATCAAAATGATTTTATGGGACTATTAAGAATTTTGACTTTTATGGTTTCGAAATTATTTTGCGCATATTAAAGTAAATTGTTCATGAAATCTACTAAGTTTTTAATATATACTAGATTTTTAACTTTTTTAGTCTATTATTCGATTCGTGTTACTTTTGTTCGATGACAAACTTATAATCAGTAAACAAGTTCTTTTCGCTTATTTTTCTTTATTGTCACACTGCCATCGGTTCCTAATACTACACAGATGCATTCCTTAAAAAGACGCTATACCGGGGAACAAATGCTTCATGACAAATTCCGTTTCAACTCCATTGGTAATTTAAAGTTTAAAGTCCATTAAAAAAAGAGTAAAATAGACCATGAAATGTTTTCAAAATATTAAAATGCAAACAAACTATGGAAAGATTATGCTGTAGGGAATCTATATGCATTTCGATATTTTGAAAAGAAACTGATACTTGGTATATAGCTTGGTTAATGGTTTACTCTAGGTTTACCCGAACTTACTTTCCTTTAAACTTTAACTTACTTATGTAGTTGAAAGAGAGGGTATTGTGCCCTCTTATTAAATGTTTGTAGTGTATTGATGATTCATAAACAATGTCTTCTATGTAAATGAAATCTTCTTTTAAGGGCACGACAGTCCTGGATGGACCCTGGTCTTGTCGGCAAGACTTTTCCAATCGTCTCTGCAATTGGTTATTAAAAGAACTGAATTGAAACATGGCCTATATTTGGTCTTTTTTTACTTACTGACAAAATAATTGCTTTTGCATTTTGCTCTAACGCCATAAAAGCCTGTTTAAGAGCATGTGTGGTGTGAACCTCTATGGCAATATCGTCTACTTAAGTATTTAAAGCGACTTACTTAAGATGACTCCCCTGGTGTTTATTTTAGAGTATCTTAATAACCTTTTAAAGAGCTATTTTAAACATAAAGCAAGACTAGCCATGAAAAAAATTTTATCTTCATTTTGATTCAAAATAGAGATGGAAAAATTTAAATTTTATTTTGGAAAAAAAAGAATCTTTATTTGAAGTACTACAACGTATTTTGCTTCATCTCTAATAGCCTGATGACACCGGGAAGAATGAAATATAATAATTTGAGAAATGGAATTATTTAAGTTTAGCTAATTGCGTTGGTATATGTCTTTCAGTTTTGTATTTCGCAATGCTGTTCAGTACTGATGTATTAATTGCTTACTTTTTCAATGAAGAATGGATATTCAACTAGTAATAATGAGACTACTAAATAGTAAATAGTAATAATAAGAGCTTAGTTCATGTAATTTTTTAACGTAATAAGTTATATTTATCGGAAACAAATTGTTAACTTCAACTTAACATTATTGGATAATACAGGCTGGAATGTTTCCCCTTGTGCTAAGAAATATGTTTACGAAAATTAATAGTACTACAGAAAAATAAAACAAAAATAATTTTGAAAAACACTTTATCGGTGTTTTGAATTCATTTCATTCTATTATCAATTAATCATTTTACAACTTAATCGCGAAGGAGTCCCATGGGGAATAATATCGTTTTTATAGTAAAAGATAAGAGTATCATAAATTATGTGTGAACATTTAATAAAAGCCGACATTATTTTTTTCATTTGTTTACTCTCTTGAATAGCTATTTATTTATCTAAAACATAACAAAACACAGTTAATTTACATTTTCTTTAAAAAAGAATGAAAAAAAGAATTGTGTTGCATCAAATATGTATAGATATATATAAACACAAAGAAGAATTATAAAATAAAATGAAATAAAATAGAAAATTTTTTAAGGGGAAAACGTAAAGGTTTTCTTCAGGACGCATTCCCTTACAGTAGTAAATGCGATATTTTACAATAAAAAATAATTATCCTAAGGAAAAAAATTAATCTTTATAATGCGTTCATGTCACTAAAAGCAAAAATGCAGTTGAAAATGAGTTTGAGATAAAAAAAAAATTAAAAAAAGAAACAGAAAGCAAACTTTCCGAAGTGGAGTAAGTAAAAATGCCTTAAAATATAAAAATAATATATATAATAAATATATTATAAATACATATATCTATATATCTTGTATATGTATGTATGTTTATGTTTATGTATGTATATGCATACATATTGATTTTTTTTATTATTATACGTCAACGTCACACTACATCGATGAAAATGTGTGTTATTGGGGACGATATTGGATCACCGGAGACATTATTGTCACCACACTTTAAATCGGAGACAGCATATAGGTGTTAATCAAGAATAAGTATCATTATTAATAAATGAATTTTTTTTTATATTCTCGGCTGTTTTATTTATTTTTTATTTATTGTTCATTTATTTTTCATTATTCATTTTTATTTATTTTTCATTCACCATTTATGTTTTCTTTTGGTGATTTTTTTTGTATTTTTCCCTTTTTTTAATTATATTTTTATGAATTTTAAATTATACTTTCATTATAAGCATTATAAGCGTAAATAGTTTTTAGGTTATGCAGCAATGGCTTGTAAACGTAACAATAAAGTTGTAATAATTGTGAAGCGTATGTAACATTTAACGATATTTCGTACGTGTTTATAATGGAAACAGTAATTAGAACCAATACATTAACTTTCGAAAACAAGTCTTAAAGTTGTATGATTTCCTTTCTTCACATTGTTGCGATTCGAATGTTCTTCCTAATCGGGACACTGATTAGATTATAAAAGATAAACAAGTAATCCATTCTTTTTTCGAAACGGATTCATGCAAATTAATTTATCTCTTGTTTTGTTTTTATTTATGGCTTCTTGTTTGTTATGAATTTTTGGATAAACTTAAAGAAACATTGCATATCTTACTTTGGCTTCAAATATTTTAAAGAGAAGTACTCGTGTAGTAAAAACTAAAACTTGTTATAAATTATAATATAATTAATTAAACATAATTTATTAATAGGTAATTATAATAATAAATAACAATTATTTATAATTATATTTAGAAATAAAAGTGGCTATTTTTAATTAAAATTCGCACCAAAAAATTTTAATTTATTTTTAGTAACTATAATTACAAATAATACGGAATTTCTTCTTGAGCTAGGTTTTAGTTCCTTACCTCAGAGAATCTTGAAATGGAAGTTGATATATTTTCTTAATAATTTTGTTTTATTTTCAAAATGAATTCAAAAATTTAGTTTTTTGAGAAATGAAATCATGTAGAGATATATCAAAATTTGTTTTCAAATGTCTCATAATAAGCTAATCCGCTCTAAAGTTCCCCATACTACAGTATAAATATAAATGTGCATCAAATTAGTTAAGCCAATAATATATAAATTAGTATAAAATTGAAAAATTCATTCTGAAATATTCCAGATAGAAAATAAAGTGAAAGTTTACGTAATACATGCGTAAGCCTTTTTTCCTCTTTAGTATATAAACAACTAATTTTACAATTAGAATCTTTTAAAAAGACATTTCATGGATACCTGATCACCAACAGCCCTATAAATAATCATGAAATAGACTTTAATAGATTTCTAATGGAGAAAAAATATTTGAAAATAAGAGAAATAATGAAAATTTAAGGTGAATTTTTGTAATAGTTTTTTATCATAAATACTAAATTCGGTTTTATTCTAAATAAATTGGAAAGGTAATTCATCAAAACATGTTTATAAGTCAAGTTTATAAATCATAAAGAATTTTAGTATCACCAAAAATAGGGGCAACTACTTTACTCCAAAGTGCGATGCACACAACACCACACAACACGGTACCAACTGCATCAGCAATTGGTACCGTGACAAATAAAATAAATAAAAATTTCTTTATGCTTAAAGTAACAAATAAAACAATTATACCTTTAACTCGCTTATATCACATCAGAAGACTTTCCCTAAACCTTACTTCTCTGAAAAGAAAGATAAATAGCACATCATTTAATTTTTACTTTACCATATTCAACCAAAACAGTCAAATAGCCATAAAACAATTATATTCAAACTGTTAAGTGTGAGAACAACGTTTATTGGTTGTTGTTTGTTTTTTCCTAATACAGTTTAACAACCAGATTTCTATCCGCGCCAACTAGGCCCATCTTAGCAATTTCATGCCGTGCAGCTGGGTGCATATAGTTTGCCTAAAGTAAAAAATCCCCTAGCCATTCGTCTGAACCCGTGGATGTGACTATGGTAACAAGGCATGACTATTTCAAGTAGGGGTGTGGAGTCAATGTTTAGAACAGGTTTTGGCTCGGTTCGGCGAGAGA